AAGCCTTCAGCAAAGAAAAAGAAGTCTAAAGGTGGCAAAAGCAGCTCAGTGGCTAGTGGCTCTAAAAAGATGGCTTAGTAGGGGTGCATCTTCTTCGGCAGTTATCATTTGTAATTTTCTTATTTTAAACATTTCTCCGCACTTTGACATTTGCACTTATTCTAATATTAGACTTGTGCAAGTTTATTTTTAATAATTTAAAAATAAAATATTTGTTTTAGATCGATTTCAGTGAAGGTAGTAGTTGTAGTAGTGTCAGTCGCAGTGCTCTGTTTGTTGTAAGCAAACTGTCATGGAAACGAAAGCGAGAAGTGCTCGACTGCATCGATTGTCGTACACCAGCAGCTTTACTTGTGAGCGCTCCTGTCGGTAATTGCCATTCTCACCGGCAATTCTCAGCGTCTGCCGAATTGTGAAATAGTCCGCAAGTGCTTCAGCAGTGTGGGGTAGTAGGGGACAAGCGTGCCCAGACATGTTCAATCAATTATTGTAATTTGCTCCAAATGGCTACCCTGACTCGGTGTTTACTGTGAATGAAAAAAGTGGCTGTGTGTGTACATTTGCAGATGGGTGGAACTGCAGACTTTTGCCAGTAGTGGTGAAGTCAGGGCGAGGATGAAAAAGAATAAAATACTAAAAGTGAACCGAGTCAAGAAAAGCAGTGGCTCCTGGCAACCGAGGTTGCTACCAGGCCACACTCACACACACTGCTGCCAACCGACGTCGCCGGTGCGTAATCAGGTGCAACAGCAGCAGCAGCGTTGGCCTAAGTTTGGGTAAATTTTAAATCGATTCTCGCTGAAGTCGACTGAGTTTTCTCGAGTTCTCTCTTTCAAATGAACGGCAAACCGTGCCCGCCAGTTGCGGCTCCGTCGTCGCCGGCTACTTTGGTACAGTCAGACTACAAAGCTCCAAAAAAGAAGACAGCTTCCTCACTGCGTCAGCTCGTTCCCAATACTCAGCCTAATCTGTCGTCATCAGCCATCACCAAATCGAACATTCGAACAGCTACAGATTCTCTAGGCGTCATCTTTCACCAGTGATCATCATTAGGGCAGGATTCCTCATTCCTCTATCGTCGTCAACTTGTGATCCCCCCTCATCATCCTCATCACCATCATGCTCAAAGGCCTGCTGCCCGAGTCAGCCGAGTACTGGCTTCACCAGTACTGGGACGAGAACTGCGACCCCCGGACGGCCCACCTCTGGCTAATGTCCGGCGGCCCCTGGAAGCTGCTGGCCATCTCACTCGCCTACTGTCTGACCATCGTCGTGGGAATGCGCCTGATGGGTCGTCGTGAGAAGCCCTTCGCCATTCGCCTGCCCATGCTCCTCTACAACTTCGCCCTGATCGCCATCAACGCCTACTTCCTCTACCAGTCCTTCTGGTGGATCGACTACGGCCGTGACCTCCTCTCCTTCACCTTCCCCTCGCCCGCCGACCGGTCACCCCGGGCGATGGGCGTCACCACGCTGTACCAGCACTACCTGTGGACAAAGTTCATCGACTACTTTGACACGGTCTTTTTCATCCTTCGCAAGAAGAACTCGCAGGTAATTGTGTGCGGTCGGTGTGTTAAAAGATGTAACAAAAGATACCAAAAAATCATCCTCACTTTCAGATAACCGCATTGCATTTCTACCACCACCTGTCTGTGCCAATGGTCGGCTGGATGTCAAACTGGGTATGCACAAGAAGTGCTTTATAAAGTTCTTCCTTAATCATTTCACTCCTCCTTTTCCCATTTCAGATCAGTCCGACGATGCCCGTGCTGGGCCTCTTTGCGATGCTCAACTGCTTTGCGCATTGCATCATGTACTTCTACTACGCCCTCTCCGCCTTTGGCCCCTCCGTCCAGCCGTACCTGTGGTGGAAGCGGTACATCACCCAGATTCAGCTGCTGCAGTTTGCCCTCATCGGCCTCTACGGACTGGCCATTCAGCTCTTCCACAGCGGCTACCCGCTTGCCTACCGAGTGATGCCCATCTCACAGGCGCTCATCTACCTGGTCCTCTTCGGCAACTTCTACCTCCGCTCGTACAAGAACAAAGACACCCGGAAGCAAGCATCTAAAGCACCTCAGTCTTCCACCGCCGCTGTCAAGCAAGACTGAGCTGAGGAGACGACTACTTTTTCAACTGCTACTTTTGATAACTTTTTGATAACCTAAACATCGTTTTGAACTTACCGTCGGTCAAGAATTTTTTGTAAACAATAAAAGACTTGAGACTCTGAAAGATAACGTCTTTTTATATCGACTATAATACAAATAAATACTTGCAATGGCATCTAAAGAAAGCGCTAGCTGCGGCTGTCTGGTTCACATGTTTGAGGAGCTGCTGCTGTCTGAGGAACTAGCTTGGACGGTGGCAGACTTGAGCTCGTCTTGCGTTGGATCGTCTTTTTTGTGCAAGCTAACGGACGGTGCACCACCACCACTACCTGCATTGGTCTCGACTAGTGGAGCAGCTGCTGATGCAGTGCTGGAGGTGTCGTTTAGCGATGCGATTCGGTCCTGAATCAAGAGACGCCACTCGTCCAGTCGTTGCTGCGACTGATTCACCTGGCTAATCAGTGCATTGAAGTCGCTCAAATTGGCGGTGATGCGGGTAATGTCGCTCTGCACCTTGGTTACTGTTTCACTTAGTTGTGTATTCGCTACGGTTAGATTGTCGACTGCAGACATGTTGCCTTCGATGAGCTTGATATTTGATTCGAGGGTGACAAGCCGAGCATCATGACTTGCTTGTCCTTCCCGGGCAAGTTTGACCTCTTTATCATCACTGGACATTTTTGAGCCTAAATCAGCAACAATCTAGAGGTGTAAATGTTAACACTGGTGTCTCTTTGTGTCTAAACTGGCTTACCTTCTTCAAATCATCAACATCTTTTGGAAGTTGAGCAATGGCTGGAGCTGCTTCGATGGACTCAGAAACCTTTTGCAGTTTTGCTTGTATTTGAGCAATGTCATTGGTCATGTTTGAAGCCAAGTCAAGGGCAATGCTCAACTCGTTTCTCAGTTGAGTTGAATTTTGGTCCAATTTCTTCAATTGGGAATGAATTAAATGCATCTCTTCTGGTAGATTGCTCTTTGTCGATTGCACTGAAAAACAATGACAGGAATTAACACACGAATGAATCTCAAAATTAACCACTTACGTCCGTCAATGTTAACTTGCAGCAGCTCAAGGCGATTGTAGAGATTGTACAGCAGAGCCAAACTGAGCAGTAAGGCTCCAATCACAAAGGTTAGAAGTATAAACTTAACAAGTGTACAGAGGCCGTAGGTATAATTTGACTTGAATAACACTGACGAAGACGTGGGCGCTCCACGAATATTTCTGCTAAATTATAACAAATTCAAATTAACCTTTCAACCACAAACAAGTTCACCAACCTTCGTTTTGAATAGCTGCGTTGTCTTTTACGTTTTTGCATCGGAATAATGTCGTCTGACGACGAGTCAAAGCTATCACTTAATCCCATGGCACTCATCAGCTTACTCTGATCTGAAAAATAGATAATTGTGGTTAGAAAAGAAACTTAATAAAATCAAAACACTCTTACCGTTTATAGACATTTTGGCAGGTGAAATTACAGATAAATAATGGGATAAAATCAATTCCTTGGCGGTCAAAAGGCACCAGAAAGAAAGAGAAAGTGTTCAAGAGCTGCACTCTTTGACTCATGTGAAAGCGCATCTGTGTCACTTCATAGTGATGCAGATATATCACTGAAACTACGTTTCAAAGGCTGAAATGAAAAACAGACCAGGTGCATTACATGGAAACGGTAGAGTACCAGTTTGTGATTTGATTGCAAAGCTGATGTGAAAAAAAAATGTTTTTATTGTTTGGCTCGTCGTTCACTGATGGCCCCACCTGTTTCCACAGAAGTGCCTTCTGCCCGCCTGTTTCGACCTCACCGCGAAACCCACGCGACAGCAAAGCATTTCCTCAGTTGCTCTTTCCTTTTGAATCGCTCTCCCTGCACGCACCTCAGCATCTTCAAGCCGACACTAATCCACCAAAAATGGCAGTGGTACGTACCTGAATTCTGGTTCCAAGTGCACCATTTAACAACAGAATATTCTTTTACAGAAAGCGAAAAAGGCCCAGAAGGTTGTTCTGCCCAAGAACAAGAGCGGCAAGAAGAAGAAGGTCCAGCTTAAGTTCTCCATCGACTGCTCCAAGCCCGTCGAGGATAGCATCATGAATGTGACCGACTTCGTAAGTGCTTTTAAATATTCCATTTAAATGATACACCTCAAGAATGTTGAGTGAATACCCCATATTAACTCGACTAAACTGAGTGTAGACAGTGCAGTGCTCCTGGGATCCCTAGTCCCTGAGTGTGCATATTGTTTTGCACCGCCAACATTAACATTGGAAAAATTCGCGATGCCTCGTCTCGCGCCTTTCTCTTTTGTCTGATTTAGGAAACCTTCCTTAAGGAGCGCATTAAGGTCAACGGAAAGACCAACAACTTGGGCAGCTCGGTCACCGTCGAGCGCAACAAGTCCAAGATTTTGATCAACGCCAACATCCTCTTCTCTAAGCGGTAGGCGCCAAGCATAATTTTTTTCAATTTGGAAATTATATTTTTTGTTTTCCTCCAATCAGCTACCTGAAGTACTTGACAAAGAAGTACTTGAAGAAGAACAATCTGCGAGATTGGATCCGCGTTGTGGCCACCTCGAAGGAGGCCTTCGAACTCCGCTACTTCCAGATCAACAATGAGGATAATGAGGAAGAAGAGGAGAACGAATAAAGTGACGAATTTTAAAAAGACAATAAATTCGTATTTTGCTCTTAACTGAACAATGCACCGGCAAGAGGCGTCAATCAGAGCCCATTGTTTCTACCGGCAGTGCATCCATCTAATCGGTTCGCCCTAGCAGCGGCACTTTAGTCGCTGATTGAAGTGCCACACAAGAGGTGAAGCTCTCACGATCTGCTTTGATGGTTTGTTGCTGTTAAACCAGTTTAGCGCTTAAATATAGTCAGTCAATGGCCAATGACCGAAGATATTTTGTGGTGTTTGAGGTTAATCTACTTCAGTAGTCGGTCTCGTTTCTAATTTTTGAACTTGATTTGAATGACCAGTTGTGGTGGTGGTCAGTCTTCACTTGGATCATCTTCATTTTATAGTGGCTAACCTAATTTTCACTGCATACAGTTACAGTTACTCCACAGTAGTTCTTGCCCCTTGATCTTAACTCGGCGATCGACAGAAAGTGAGCGTGTTTTCTCTCTTTCAGACGTGTATGTGTGTGTGTTTTGATTGGCTTTCAATTTCCAAGTTTATAAATAAGGCCGAGGCGGCGCCGGTCGCGCTGTGCACTCGTCTCTGTCGGCACCACCACCACTCTTTCTCGTTTTCACTGGAGCACTATGTGCTACACTTTTACCGCGCCGAACACAGTTCACCTGCCAAACTGATGTTCCTCTGCGTCCTCTTCCTTTCTTCCTCTTGCTGACCACCATTGTTGACCACTGCCAGTGCATTGTGAAGTGCAGTCAGTCAGTGTCTTTGCCATTGCAGCATCAGTGCAAGTCGCATCATCACCTCAACCAACTCTAAAATGTTGACGTGGACGTTGCTGGTGTTTGTAGCCGTTGCGGCTGTGGAAGGTAGTGAAGGTAGTAGCAGCAGCCTCCTCCTCAAGACAAGGTGCAACTCCACTCGGTACGAAGAAGCAGATACTTGCGTGCAGAAAATTTTCTTGATAGGAGACAAAAGTCAGCGCTTTCGCGAGACACTGCCGCAGATGCGCAGCTACTGCAAGTAAGCACACCCCTCCATTTGACGATTTCCACCGCTTATCTCCACTACTAATATTTAATCGCTCTCCTCTTCATAGACAAATCAACGAGCTTCAGAGCTGCGTTCGACGGTTCTCCCGCGAGTGTCTGCCCGAGCTGGCCCGCCAGGTGACCAATCTGCTGCTGTACGGCGTGAAGCGGGTCAACCGGCAGTACTGCAGCAGTGAGAAGGGCATGCTGCGCTTCAATGAGATCGCCAAGTGCGGCAACTACCAGCTGGAGGAGAAGCACCAGTGCATGGACGACTTCCTCAATCAGCTGCGACTGGTGGAGAAGAGGACCGGAGAGGAGATGGTCGAGAAGAGGATTCACTACTTCTGCTGGTGAGCTGACAAAAACTGATGCTTGACAAAAGGGCTGATGCTAATCGTTCTATTCCTTACTTTTTTCAGCTACTTCTCCGATTTTAAATCCTGCGTTATGGAGACCTTTGAGAAGGGCGGCGCTTCGATGTTGAGGAAGCGATGTCCCAAAGAGGAGGACAAGCAGAGTGTGGTTGATCTGATTGGCGGCTATGGGGATGACGCCATGGAAATGGTCTGCGGGGAGTTTGGCGCCAACACTGACGGTAGCAAGTGCGAAGAACTGCTCAAAGTGCCTGCCAAAGGCGGAAAGGGGGCGTCTGATGATGGCAAACTGGAGAAAGACGGCGGCAAGGCGAGAAGTGGTAAATCAAAGCCGCCAGCGAAGGGTAGCTTCAAGTCGAATAAATCAATACTACCATATTTTGTAAACATCTTCGGTAAGTTGTAGTCGTCGGTGACGGGGAAAATCAGCAAAGCATTGTGTACCATTTGCCCGGTGGTCTTTCCTATCGTCATCGTCATCATCGTCATCATTTTACTCTTACTCGCACTCATCTTCATCCTCATCCTCATAATCATCATCGCCATCACTATCCTTCTTATGCCATTTGCCTAATGGTAAAGGCTAATCTTTTTTTGAGTTTTCAACCTCAGCCAAACTTGAGGACGTACGCAAGTGCAAAAGGTGCAAACCATTGTTCTTTCACTGAACTGTCAATTTTAATATGTTTATTTACCTGTTGCGGAACTGAAAATGCTGCCCACCTCAATTATTATCAGCTGATGAATTAATTGATCCTCGTACCTGTCACTAGAATGTCTAAGAAAGTGTGTGTTCCGATTGTACAGATCATTCCCCCTCATGTTTTTAAAAAATTCAAAATATTAAACAAAAGCTATATGACCAAATGTGCAAATAGTAGCAGTTTTGTTATGCCATTTTGGTTAATTTACAAAAAGACCCCACAACTTGTGGGCCACAACTGCAAGGGAATATCCTCCGGAACAATTTGTGTGAGTGCAAAAGCAGAAATTACCGCTCCATCGTATTGTGACGTATAGGACTTTACATATTTAATGAGACAATGCTCATGTTTACCTGAAGATGCATTTTTGCTTTAATGTCTAGCTCAATTTTGGCTGAAATAGGCAACTTTTATTGGAAAAACATAAATAATAAACTGAAAATACATTTCTAATGCTGCTGAGAAAATATGCACCCACTTCTGGTAGTTTTCCGCTGTATAGTAGCGCTTGTGATAACTTGCAGTGGCAATAATTTGCATAGGTAATTTATCTATCTCTCAAACTGACTGCGGTTCATCCTTTTTCATCTTGTTGCTAATCACAGAGATGTAAAAGAAAACACACTGAAACAGCTAGTTTAATTACTACCTTCTCCTTGCAAGGCTTCTCAATCAAAACCAAATTTGTCAAAACATGAAGTTTTAAGGCTTGAAGTGTTGCCGAAAACAAACTTGCATCTGTTGCTGAAATTTTAATTCAATGCACACTGTATCTAGTACCACAAAAAGAGCAGTGATCATCGTTGATCGATCAGCAATGAAACCTCTGACGATATAGATCCACAAAATTACCCTCTTTTAAAGAAAATAATCTGCTGTGGCATTGTGATGCCCAACTAAAAAGGGAAATTAAGTATGTAAATCAACTAGCCATTCTTTTTTACTTTTAAATATGGGTGATGCCTGTGTGCCGGGGAAAATGTGTTGTAAAAGTGTGAGATGGGTATTGTTTAGTATACCAATCTGCTTTCACTTGTGCACAATATCTTTGCACCTTTCTCTATTCAGAGGTAGCTTTTCTGACAAATCAAGCAAGGCAAGAAGAGAAGACGTGCTTTTTAGAATGGCAATCGGGAACAGAGAAGGAAAAAATTACCTTTTTTTCTTAAAAGCAACAGGCAGTTGTAAAGTTGCATTTTTATGATCAGAGAAAGTGAGAGAGCGACAATTGAGGTTGTCAACGTCAGATAGACTGTTTGGTGAGCTAAGCCCAATTCACACTAAAGATGGTCAGTTTCTCATTTGGCTTTTGGCTTTGGTCGTTTGCTGTGATGTGGTAGTCAGACCGGCTTATTTTCATCACCGTCGACCCTTCTGACGACTTTTGAGGATACCACCGACATTACCGGTTGTTGATAGCAGCACCTTTCCCACTGACCACTGTTTGTGTCAATATTTTTCACTTTCTCCTCCTCCCTCAATCATTAGTACATATCTGTCATTAAAATGTCTACCACCTGAGTGCATCTTATCGCAATCGAACATCTACTGTCGGCACTGAATGACTGACTAGTTTGTTGATGACGTACTTCAGTTCTTTAGAATCGAGTACCATTTTATCACTTGTGCCGCTCACTTTGCTAATCACCAAGTTTTATTAGTGCAACTTATTCTGCTTAACTTGTAAATCATCTTCCTCCTTTCTTCATTTCAAAAATACTAGCGGAAACTTTCCTTAACTTTTTTATAATTAAAAGCTTTGATTTGTCACGTACGAACCTACTGATTACGGCTAGAGATTAGTTGACTGTGTTTTTCAGTCAATTTCTCGCATCGAACTCCTTTTCATTTATTGCCTTCAAATGGATCTACCCGTTTTGGCCACCACTCAACTAAGTCAACAATGTGACCAGAGCAGTGTTTCAGTTCAAATTGATTCAAAAAGTGCCGGCAATGGCAGTGCTACTCTTGAGTAAATGATTAAACTTCCTTAAATTGTTTTGTAATCTCAATTATTATTTTATTTTTAGTAGCAGCACTTTCACACAAATAGAGCTACAAAAGCAGAAATCATGTTTTGAAAACGTCTCCGGCAAACCATTGGTAGTGTGCATTCAAAATGTGCATTTTGACTACAGTAAGAAGGAGAAACTTATTCAAAATTTGAACATCAATCTTGTGGCTGGACACATATACGGCCTACTTGGGCCCAGTGGGTGTGGTTAGTTATAAAACTTTTTTAAAATGTAGGATTAACAAAGCATTTCAACTACACTTTAGGAAAATCAACTACACTGAAATTAATTTTAGGCTTGTTGCGTCCTCAAAAAGGACAGGTACTGGTGTACGGAAACAAGCCAAATACTGCAAAATGTCCAATTCCAGGTTAGCAATTTGATTTGTCTATTGTTGTTTTAAAAAATCAACCATTTTGGTGAACATTTTTTAGGTCCTGGAGCAGGATACATGCCTCAAGAGTTGGCGCTGATGCCAACGATGACCGTGTCCGAACATTTTCAGTACTACGGGCAGCTGTCGGAGATGAATCCTCGGGAGATAGGGAAACGGTCACTTTATCTGGTTGATCTGCTGCAAATTCCCGCCACTGATCGACCAGTGGAGAAACTGAGCGGTGGTCAGCAGCGTCGTACATCACTGGCCCTAACACTTCTTCACTCACCACCGCTGCTCATCTTGGACGAGCCAACTGTATGTGCTATGAAAAAAAGCGATTTAACTTGTACTAACTTTTCACACCCCCATTCATTCACTTCTCAGGTTGGCATTGACCCAGTGCTGCGCAACAAAATCTGGTCGTACCTTCAGGAGCTGACGATNGCTGATCGACCAGTGGAGAAGCTGAGCGGTGGTCAGCAGCGTCGTACGTCACTGGCCCTTACACTGCTTCATTCACCACCGCTGCTCATCTTGGACGAGCCAACTGTATGTGTTTAACAACAAAAAAGCGATTTAACTTGTGCAAAAACTTTTCACCCCCATTCATTCACTTCTCAGGTTGGCATCGACCCAGTGCTGCGCAACAAAATCTGGTCGTACCTTCAGGAGCTGACGATGAAGGAGGGGAAAACGGTCATCCTTACCACTCACTACATTGAGGAGGCGAGGAATGCAAACACTATTGCACTGATGCGGTACGGTTCACTGCTGGCGGAGGCGAATCCTGATCGCCTGCTGGCCACCTTTCGCATGTCCACCATTGAGGAGGTTTTTCTCAACCTCTGCGAGAAGGGAGACTCAGAAGAGAGTGATCAGGCAGCTGCAGTGGCAGTGGCACCACCACAACCAGCGACAACAGCAGCTCAGCCGAAACAAGGCAATCTAAATAAGCTACCAAAAGACGGCGTGAAACCTTCCAGGAAATGTATAGAGGAAAATATCATCTTTGCGCCGTACAACGGTCGACGTCCCACAAATAACCTTTTCAACTGGCTGCGAGTGTGGGCCATCATCTGCGACACCTTCACCTTCATCCAAGGGAAAGTGTGGACCATTCTGGTGGCCTGTCTGCTGCCCACCTGTCAGATATACCTTTTCCACTACTCGATCGGCAAGCCGATTGCCAGTCTACCCATTGCCGTCAGCTCACCGGAAAATGGCCGATCCTCACGTTTTAGTGACGTTCTCATAAATCGGCTCGAGGCGAGAAATATCACTGTGGTAAGTACTGATAAAATAGAAAACTTTCATAGCCTAAGCACACACCGTTTCAGGAGCGGTTTGTCAACGGCAGCTCTGCAGTGGACGCCGTCACGAACGGGCTCGCCTTTGCCAGCTTCAAGTTTGATTCCAACTTCACTAGATGTCTGGTGAATCGCATCCGCCGCGGCTACGAGGTGTCCCCCTACGACATCAACTGCAGTCGCGTGAAGATGGCCCCCGACAACACGTACCAGTTCATTATCTTTCAGCTGGCACTTGATCTGCGTGACTCCTTCCTCGAGGCCATCTACCGGTACTTTCCCAAGCTGGGCTACAATCCAGAGGCGCTCAACTCGCCCGTCGTCGTCAAGGAGTACGTCTACGGCAGCGACAAGTTCTCCTACCAAGAGTTTATGACGCCTGGAATGGTAAGTAGCGGTGGTGAGGCGGTGATGAAGGTGGCAATTTGACAGCAAGGCTGAAATTACCACAAATGACCTCTAATCTCTTCCTCATTCTCTCTCTTTCTCTCTTTCCTTTTCGCTTTCTCTTTCTCACTCTCCCTCTCAACCACAGTACATGGCACTTATCTACCTCGCACCGCTGATTGTCACTCTCTTCGTCCTGCTCGAGCAGAAAGTCTACCGACACGTGGAGCGCAGCCAGGCGGCGGGCGCCCGTCCGCTGGAGATACTGGCCGCCCACTTTGTCACCAACGGCGCCATCCTCGTCATTCAGACGGGCTTCATGATGGTCGTCAGTCTGCTCTACTTTGAGGCGCAGGTGCACGGCTCGGTGCTCCTCCTCCTGGCCATCGTCTACCTGGAGGGCGTGGCGGGCATTGCGTTGGCCATTCTCATGGCCACCGTCCTCGACAACAAACTGGCCGCTCTGGTCTTTGTTTACGGACTGACGATCAGCCTGTGGATGATCTGCGGCGTCTTCTGGCCGACGGAGAACATCAACTTTGCCGTGGCTCGGCAGAGCGTTCAGATTCTCCCGCTGACGTGGCCCATAGAGACGGCGAGGAATATCATGAATCGAGGCTGGTCAATTGATCACACCTATGTGATGCTAGGCTTTGGCAGTGCCACCTTTTACGCTGTCGTTCCGATGCTGCTCTCTTACGTTGTTTTCAAGTGAAGCGTGTGAAGAGTGTATTTGCCGTCGACATTGACTTTGAGCAATGTTTAGCAGTGCTCTTCACCTTCTCTTAACCTTAGCCAATGAGAGTACATGTTTTTCGCTTCCTATTCTTGTTTTCTTTTTTTAAATTTTTGTCACCTCAACTTTTGCCAACTCGATTGTACTATCACACTATCTTCGGCTATTCTTGCAAGTTTGGTTTACTCAATTTTGACACTAAAAAACACTCGAAAGCCTAATATGGTCGTTTTCCACTTTCACTTGCACTGAACACAAACAATTGACGCCACCGGTGCTTTACCCCTCTGTTGCACCAAAAGTACAGTGTTACTTGCGACCAGACATTCTTTTCAGAAAGAAAGTGGGAGAGAGAGTGGAACAACACTTCACTTCACTTTTGACACTTATTACTTTTCTAACAGTTGTAGGCAAGAACAGAAGACGAATCAGTGCGCAATTCCACTGCGAGGAAAAGCGCTTTCAACGTGGAAATCCCATTTTCTGTATTGCACAGTAGGCCTTTTTTCTCGACCTGTTCAAAAAATGTTTTACTTATTTTTTATTTTTTAAGTTTTTATTTTTTAATTATTTGTTTGTAGAAAATGACATGGCAGCGTTTGTGTTTGCTTTTCTCATTTTTTCTCATTAAAAAAGAAATGCAAATAGAAAAAACAAAGAAAACTCAAAGGGCAAGCATGCATAAAAGGCGCAATATGCAATATAATTGGTAACTATCTGTTAATTGAGCGATTACAGGTAGCAGTGGCAGTGCTGGCGGTTGCATTACGGCATTTTGCTAATGCAAACACTGTTGACTAACTCACCGTTGTTTATTCATCAAAGCGCTAATAAAACACACAAACCGCGGAAATGCGAGAAGAATGCGTAATTGGCATCGATCAATTGAACCATTGGTAAATAGCCATTGAGCATCGCCAGCGCCATCATCGTCATCATTGTCTTTGCTTGCGGTTTATTTGATTGCACCGGGCACTTTAAATTGCACCGATTCAAAACAACAAAACAGTGAAAACTGAAACCAAAATTCCCTCTGACGCATCAATCATCTGATTGTCTGTCGGTCTAACTGCCAGCGCACCTCCGCAAGTGACACAAACTTACAAGCACACAACCAATCACACACTCATACACTCACATTGTGGCGCCCAGTGATACTGCGCTACAAGGCCAATGGCAGTCAATTCTTCTTCTCCCCCACCGTCAATCGTCTTTTCATTTGGCGCCAAAGAAGACTTCACAAGATGAAGAAGAAGAAGACAGAGCCACTTACTTCGTTTTGTTTGCTTTTCTCGCAGAAAAAGACAGAGCACCTGTTCGCATCTACTAAACAGACATTTACTGTCCAGCTGAGCTCCACTGTCTGCCTGTTCGTTATGGGCTCCATTTTGCCATGCTTCTGAAAACAAACTGACTCACTGATTGTCTGTCTGACTGACTGACTGGTAGGCTGTTCGAACAGTCTCAGCCGTACTGCACCAAGTAGCTGCGCTGTTCAATTTAAAAGCTTCACTACACTCTTCACGGTGGCGCCTTTGGTGATATCGCCTCTCTGTGTCTGCGTCTGTGTAATCAACTGTGTTCGACGACAACGACGACAGCAGCAGCACAGTGTTACTTTCTTCTCATTGTGCGAGCTTGTTCAAGAGACAAGACAAAGAGCAAAAGTCGCACTGGCTTCTTCGCCACAACCAGTTCACTTACTTCACTTAGTCGACAAAGGTGAGAGATGAAGGGAGGGAGATAGAAGGAGGAAACCGAAGAAAAAAGTCAACAGTGTGCCACTTTTCAGTCTGACTCCATTTGCGTTTGTTCCAATGTGAATACTCTCTCACCTAACCCTAAACTGGTGAACTGATTGGTGTTATCATCATCATCATTATTGCTGTTGACCATGAACACAGCCACCATGACCACCACAATAATGAATCCAGCTTTCGCCAACCACCATTCGGAGAAGTCACCTGTTGCACCTAAAGCAACAGCAGCAAAGGTGGCCGTATCCTGCACTGACATCTCCTTCAGCTACACTTCAGACAAGCCAGTGTTGACAAAACTCTCTATGACCGTGCCCCAGTCCTCCATATACTCTCTACTGGGAGCCAGCTCATCTGGGAAAACTACACTGATCAAGATTATAACCGGCACTTTAAAAGCTTCCAGCGGAAGTGTGACCATTTTTGGCCAGAAACTGGGCACCAGTGGGTGTTCCGTTCCGGGAACCGGCGTCGGTGTAATGCCTCAAGAACTGGCCATTTATCCGCACTTTTCAGTGGCCAGCACTCTGCGGTACTTTGGACGGCTGAACCGCCTCAGTGAGTTGCAGATCAGCGAACGCATCAGCTATCTGAGAGAGTACCTTGAACTGCCGGACACTGGGCGACCGGTGGCAACGCTGAGCGGAGGCCAACAACGACGAGTCAGTCTTGCAGTTGCACTGTTGCACAGCCCGGCATTAGTTGTTTTAGGTGAGACAATGATTCATTCACATGTCAAAAATTTTCTAAAACTATTTATATTTTTTTATTCTGGGTTTAGATGAACCAACGGTGAGTACATTAAGAGAAAGTAAGATTGCATCATTTTAAAAAACTTTTAATGCAGGTTGGCATTGATCCACTTCTACGNCTGGGCGACCGGTGGCAACGCTGAGCGGAGGCCAACAACGACGAGTCAGTCTTGCAGTTGCACTGTTGCACAGCCCGGCATTAGTTGTTTTAGGTGAGACAATGATTCATTCACATGTCAAAAATTTTCTAAAACTATTTATATTTTTTTATTCTGGGTTTAGATGAACCAACGGTGAGTACATTAAGAGAAAGTAAGATTGCATCATTTTAAAAAACTTTTAATGCAGGTTGGCATTGATCCACTTCTACGCTTCAAAATCTGGTCTTTATTAGGAGAGCTGAAAGATCATGGACACACGGTAAACAAAAAAACAAAAAGAATTTTTCACTTAAATTTGTTTTTTTATAAAACCAGATCATCGTGACTACCCACTACATCGAAGAGACCGTCACTTCAGACACTGTCAGTTTCATGCGAAATGGCCGTCTGCTGTGTGAGGAGAATCCTCAGTACCTCATTGCCAGCACTGCATCGGTCAATCTCGAAGAAGCCCTCTACAGACTGTGCAAACAACAGGACACAGCACTGTCACACAACGGCCATGCCGTTTATCAGCAACCACAGTTGTGCCAAAAAAGTTTACCAGCTCAAATTGAAGCAGTAAAGCAGAAGATTAAAAGTGTAAAGGAGGTGAAAGTGCCTGCTGAGAAACAAGAAAGGAGGCACACCTCCACTC